TGTTCCGGCCTCGGGCGCCGCGGAGGGCCCAGGGCCCGGGCCCAGGGGGCGAGGTCCCTCCCGCGGTCCGCCTGTCTCTCCGCCCCCCTGGGGGTCCAAGAGGGTTTCGCTCCTGTCCCTTTCCCGTCCCGCCTTCCACCACCAAGGGTGAGGGGAGGGAGAAGCCGGTAAGACACCCCTCCCCAGAAGTGGGACACCCCCGACCCCCTAGATATTTAGGGCGTTGCTGAACCCCACGCGGCGTCTGGCAGAGGGGAAGGAACACTCGGATATGAGTGCTGCCTTACCCGGGGGCCGCGGCCCTGACCCTGAGGCTGATCCTCGGATGTCCTCCACCCGTGTTCCGCTGATCTGAGTCACTGTGAGAATGGCCCTGGGGGATTGCTGCTTAAACTCTCACTTTATATATGAGGAAACCGAGGCAAGGACTTGCGGCGTCGGTAATGGAGTGAGCTCCGCTGCCCCCAGAGGATCCAGGACGGAAGTCACCGGAGAAGGCAAAAGGATCCTGCCCTCTTTAGTGACAGGGAGAGAAAGGACCATTGAAATGGCCTAGAAAGTGAAGTTCTGGGGAAGGGTCCAGAATCTGACACACACACACACACACACCACAACCACCAACACCACCTCCACCACCACGGTCTCCTGGAGCAAGAGGAGAACGGAAATGGGTGCCTCCCATGGTGGGACAGAGAGGTGACTGACACTGGGGCCCTCTCCCACAAAAGAAGCCCCCAATTTCATCTCAACACCTGCTAGCAGCTGGCCTGCAGCTGTTCCCCTTCTTTTCTAAGAACTAAGTCTCTACTCCCTTAACCTCCCACTGACTGGGCCACCACACAGCCCTCTGTTTCCTGGTTCTGGCACACTGGGGATGCCTGGCTCAGAAGGGCCAGGAGGCCAGGAGGCAGAAGTGGGTCAGGATGGGGTTCGTGGGTGGCAGCAGGACACGGGATGCTATTTGGACAAAAGGGAGTGAGCCAGTTGCCAGCTTGGAACTTAGCTCCTAACTGCTCCTTGGGCTTTGCTGGTCCTGGCTTCAAGCTAGGACCACAATTTGTGACCATAAAGATCCCCTAATGTAAGATAGGTGTGGGAAACAGGCTTTTGCTAAAAGTTTGGGAACAACAGAAGGAAATTACAGCTCAGAAAGGAAAGAACTTCTAACTGAATTTCAGCAGTCATTGTTTCTAGAATTCAGTGCCGTATCTCATTAGAAGGAATTTCCCTCTGGCCCATCTCCTTTTTTCCATCTGCACATCCAACTGACCCAGCAGTATTTATTGAGAAGATCACCTTTCCTCCCACTTTGCTGCAGTGTTAACTTTGTCATAAATCAAGTAGTCCATATGTACATGGGACAGTTTCTGAATTTTCTAGTGTGTTCCATTAGCCTATTTTTCTCTCCTGGTGCTTTATCTCACTGACTAAATTTCTATTGCATTATGATAAGTCTTAATGTCCCCTCAAATGAGGCTACTGACTGTTATCTTTAAGATTGTCTTGACTATTCTTGACATTTGTACTTCCATAGAAATTTTAAAATCAGATTGTCCGTTTAAACACACACACACTTCTGCTGAGATTTTAGTTGCTATCACATTGAATCTTTAAATCAATTTGGGTAAAATTAACATTTTCAATGTTAAGGCTTCCTATCCATAAACATAGTATGTCCCTTCATTTATTTAGGTTTTTTTTTTTTAAGTTCTTTCAGCAACATGTTGTAATTTCCTATGTAGAGAACTTGCACATCTTTTATTAGATTTACTCTTGGGTATTTTATGTTTTTGATGCTATTATCAATGGTTTCTTTATAAGTATATTTTTTTTTCTGTTTGTTACCAGTACACTATGGTGGTTTTAAAACAAGTCAATAAATTATTTGACATTCTCCCAAGGGGTAGAGTCTAATAGCATTCGCCTTAAAAAGTGTTGGTCTCAGTGAATGGTTTTTAACAAATAGAATGTGGCACAATGTGTGCTGTGTGGCTTCTGAGTCTAGGTGATGAAAGTTGAAATATCTTTTGCCTGGCTCCCTCTCTTGGGACATTTGTCTTTGGAACCCTAAGCCACTATGTAAGAAGTCCTGGGCTGCCGTGCTTTGAAGAAGTCTGAAATAACCCTCACAGAGAATCCATATGCAGAGACTTAAAAAAGAGTGGAAAATGACTAGCCAGTCCCCTGCTGTTCCAGCTCCATCTACTGCCTGACTGTAACCACATGAAAAACCTTGAAATATCCAGCTGAGCCCTTCCTGAATCCAAAATGCACAGAAACCATGAGAGATAATAAATGATTATTGTTATTTTAAACCATGAAGTTTTGGAATGATTTGTTACTTGGCAATATATATCTAGAATGTGTAAAACAGTGGATTTTGTATAATGCCCTTTGATCCAGTGATACTGCCAAACTCATTTATTCTAATAATTTATCTGTAGATTGTTTAAAATAAAGATACTATATTCTATTTCATCTATAAAAATGAAAGTTTTGGTTTTCCTTTCCAATCCTTAAACATTTTGTTTATTTTTCTTGCCCTGTTGCACTGGCTAGTGTTGCCAGTATATATTGGAAAGAAGTAATAATAGAAGGCAGCCTTGTCTCATTCTCAATATCAAAAGGAAAGCTATCAATATTTCACTATCCATTATAGTGCCAGCTGAAGGTTTTTTGCTTTCTTCTTTGTTTAATTTCATTTTGTCTTTTGTAGATCCCTCTGTTGTGGGTTGAGAAGGTCAATCTTCACAGCAATCCTCTGGGTCAGGAAATAAGACTGCTGTGGCCATTTTACAGATGAGAAGTATGAGGCCCAGGGAGGAATCCTCAACATCACAGTGTAAATAATAGGACTAATCAGCATTACCTAAGTCTGGAAATCTCACCTGGAGCATATTTCCACAGTCTTGGTCTCGCTAACTCTGCTCAGAGCTATAGAACAACATCCACCAGAGGATGGAGGCCCATGTGCAGTGGATCAACTTCAGGAAGCCATCTGGCTTTCCTGGGGTCTGCCAGCAGCAGCAAACACCGACCCTGCTGGTCACCTCTGTCCACTGCCTTCCCTGAGAAGAGGCCGGCACCAAAGAGTTCTCAGGGAAGTCTGGCCGTGGAGCCCAGCAGGGAAGCCATGCAG